AAATTTAAACATTTTCACAAGAAGTAAAGGAAGCGTGCCTTTTCACTTGATGTACATAAGTCTCAAGTTGCTCCCTATGGTCATCATCAGAAAAGTCTGCGTGATAAATATTAGCAAAACGAGCAAGCTTATCAACATCAAACTTGGAAAAAGAGTTCTTGGAGTCGAGACATGACAAGCAATCCAACACAATGTTACTTCCTTCACTAAACTGGTGATCCGTCACCACACATATTTTGTCAATAGCAACATAAATTTTTTTTGTATGGTAATAATGAAGATTAGTGACACTCCTCCCTTCTCTTCTTGAACGACCCCGAACCAATATTTTTTCATCCATATTTGGCATCGGGATACTTTGAGCAACACAAAACTATTGGGCATCAATAAATAAATCATCCCCATCACTCACTCTCTCAATGTAGCCAATTGAGCTTTAACATCATCAACTAATTCTATAGCAAGCACAATATTAAGATCTTTTGTTTGTAAGATTTTAGAAAGTTCATTTGTGATACCGAACAACTTTAACATAAGCTTCAAAATGAAAGCAAATTTGAAGCTCTCCATTTTTTCTATCAAACCCGCTGTTTGAGATGGTCCACGTCCATCTTCATCAACAATACTAAGAACATGTAACATCTGATCCAAACGAATCAAGGTAGTATATTGTGAACCCCATATATTATCTCTGGGTCTAGCGAGATTATATGAATGGTGCAAGCCCTTTCCTTGAGATATCACACCACTCTCAAGTCTATTTAAAATATATTGGTGGTTGTGTCCATTTCTAGTAATTGCTCATCTATTCGTGATTTCTTTGAGTATATCTCCTTGATTGTAACCACGACAAGTGCATCTTGCAAGAGAAGGGATGCTTTTATGGAGGTGAGCATAGCAATGGAAATAGAAAGCATAAGGGTTTTCATCTAGAATCTTTCTTTATAAACCATTAAATTCACATCTCATATATGAATCCTCATCATATCCTTGCCTTCGTATCTTTGAAATAGATAATGTTTGACGATCAATAATACCATAAAGAGCATTCTTTAGTGCCTCATGTGTAAGATATTTAACATGATGTAGAGCAATAAATAGTTCCACAACTTTCCCTTTGTCGTTCAAGAACCTACAAATATACAAGTTTAAGTTAACAATTGTAGTAGCTTCAATAATGTTATATGGAGGTATGGAGAATAATATGTAATAGAAATTGGAAAATATAACTACTAACCTCAACATCACTGCCATTTGCTCTTTTGCGGATATATCATGTGACTCGTCAATAAGCACGGAGAATTGTCTATCACCAAGCTCTTCCATAATCACCTTGATAACTTCATGTGAACAACACGTTGCAAGCTCCTTTTGAATATCACCGGAAGCCATTGTGTAATTATTTGAACCACGGCCAAAAGCATCTCTCACTTTTTCATCATTATATTTTACCCAATCCACCATCTCTCTAAAATTGCCCTTGTTTAGAGAAGTAGAGCTTTCATAATGGTCACAGAAAGCAATGCCTTGTGCTATGAGATATCTAGTACAATCTAAAGAAGAAGTCAAACGCATTTTATACAATTCTTCTGATTCCTAGTTGCTCTAGCAAAGATACTTGTCACACTTTGTCTTTGATTATTATAATCGTCATAGTGCTTCATACATGAGTTGTGCTTACTATCATGACTACCAATATGATCTTTAAAGCCTTTAGATGCATGCTTCCAATCTTTAAATCCGTCTTTGTTGAAGACTTCATAACCAAAGTGTTCGGCCCTCCCGATCGGCTTAAAGAGAAAGCAATAGAAACAATAAGATTCATCCTTCGACTCACTGTTTTCAATCCATCTATAATTCTTATACCATGCTTTAAAAAATACTCTTGAAGACTTCTCAAATTGAGTACGAGGAAATGTTGCTAAATCTGGTTGCGTTGGACCCTTCAATATATATTCCCTCCTCACTTGATCTTGAATATCCGGAGCATACTCATGAATTTGTTTCCTACATCCTGTATCACGCATAATCTCATTTGGAATAAACTCATTGGCCGCATTAGGCGGTGTTTCTTCTACTTCGACTTCCGATTGCACAACATTCACATTCTCAATACATGTTATAGGAACCAAAAACCTCATCATCTCTGAATCAGAATCAAACAAGCAAATTCAGAATCAGAATCAAACAAGGAATGCAAAAACAAAGAATCACCAATGTAGTAACAAATGCGAAAATACCAACAATGTTCATAATAGGCAGAAACCAAACTCAGAGAAGCAAATTGATTAAAATAAATTCAGAAAAATCCAAAAACACGAAATTTAATCTAATTAAGTAAAATAAGAATTTTGGAATTTTTTTCGGAATTTTTTGAGACTATGAAAACAGTAAAAAAAAACTCATAAAAAATAGGAAAAAAATGATTTTCCCTAAAATCGGATTTTTCGAGCCAGATCAGACGCAAAACGGACGTCCGGACGGGAATCGCACAAAACAGACATAAAACGCAACAAACAAAACCTAAAAAATAATTAACAGTTACAGAAAATCAGAAGAGAGGAGGCAGAAGAATTCACCTCACGGAAGAGAAGAGCAACGACGGTCGCCGGTCGGACTCGGCGGAAAGGATACGACACTGACTCGTCTAAGAGAGGAGGGAGGAGATACGAAGAGACGATGAATTTTCTTTTTTAAAAAACCTGTGTACCAGGAGGGAGGATGATTAGTTTGTTCTGTTTTAAGGGAGATTTTTTATGATTAGTTTGTTTTGTTTTAAAGAAGTTTTTTTTTTTTAATTTCTGTTTTGATTAATAAATAATTAATTGGGCTGAGTCATTGGTTATTCATCTGTTTTAGTTTTCACACTCTATTTTTACTAATTTTGTCCTTGGTTTTTTCTAAAAATTACTAATTTTATCCCTGACTTTGTTTAAAAGTCAGTTATTAGATAGAGGGGTATACAATGAAAGGAGGGGTTAAGCCCGGGCGCGTGCCCGGACTCGCTGGGCTGTAAATCCGCCTATGACAGTTGAGAGCGGGTGAAGGATTTTGACAATACCAATCCCTTGGGATGAAGTTAGGGAATCATTGGAAGAAGTTCTAATTGTTAAGAAAACATATGTAGATAGAGAAGGTAAAAGACCTTTATTACTTGTAATATGAACAGATGCACCAATGTCAAGAACTCAGGGTCCAAGAGAGGAAAACAAATGAATGACTAGTGTGTGCAACTAGAGCAGTAGTAACAGTGTTCTAATTATTCTCAAGTCACTCGAGGAAAACTTCATAGCTTGGTGGAGGCTTGTGTAGGATATGTGGTCAAAACAATGTCAAAAGGATCAGCATGAGCCACATTTACCAATGTTAAGGCATAACAAGCAACTTCCAACAAAGAACAGTAGTGTGTCCGAGTTGATTACAATGATCACATTTTGGACGAGGCTTTGAGTTGGAAGACCTTGAGAGAAATGTTGATTATTTTCAAGAATCAGTTGTATCTAGGATAAGGACTATAGGTGGTTTAGTTGAACATTTTTCGTAGAACTAGAAGAAGGATAGTCGTGACAGTATCCATATCTGAAACATTAACATACCCCAAAATTTGATCATGAATGGCAAAAAAAACATAAGGTAAAACCATACAGGGTAAGAAACATGAAGATAATGTTGTGTTGATCACACTTCTTCTACTGCTTAGCTGGATCACTTACACCAGAGGGGGGGAGTTCGTTAAACTCGTGAAATGTAATATGAACAAGACCAATATATGTAGAAATAAATGCATCTATTTTATGCAAATTGATGATATTCATCAATAAGTGATATACTTCATAGAGGTGCTGTGGCATTTGTAGAGTTTCTTAGCCTAACTCCAAATCGATTCTCATGTGACACGAGGACGAAAGATCAGTTTGATGTCAGGATTAAGTGTACACTTAATGATACTATACAAATGGAGCATCAATCTTGTTTCAGCGTAGATATTTCAGTTAGAGCCACATTTTCAAGTTTTTTCATACTGATTGTTTGAACAACAATACATATTTGTGTGAAGCAAAACTAAAAGGTGGGGGAAGATATGGAACCAGCATATAAAGAAGATTCAGACTAGAGCAACAATGACGGGAATGACAGTTGGATGCATAATCACACACAATAGAACATGCATAACATGAATGCCACGTGCAGGCAGCGCTTGTGGCAGAAGATGACATGGTTTTTGAGAGATATGTCAATTTGGAGGAAACAAGACTGATGTCATTCGTCGGAAAAGTCATCAGAGATGATTATTGCAATGGTGGCAGTTGCGGATGCGGCTGAAAAGCAGTCAAAATGATTGCAAAAATAGTTAACGGAAGCAGAGGAGAGGCAAATCGGAGTTGAAACACGATTTGCCAACAAAAATTCTCATGTAAGGACAATGCGTCTATCGAGTAAGTACATTGCCGAGATGCCTACTCGAGAGGCTTTGGATACCATATAGGAAGAGAAATTACAAAAAAACATATGGTGAAACTGTATGTTCAGACCGCAACTCATAAGTTTTATTTTTTAGACAATAACTTATATAAAGAGTATATGCCAAAGAATAATTTATAGATTTATAGAATATGTTATGATAAGGGGAATCTTAAAATATGCTAAGGTTCATTTAGAAATTATTCCCATATTGTTTATTAAATACTTGTAACCGTAGTAGAAAACAAAAAATCAAAAAGAAAATGTGAAGAAAACATGGTCATGGCCCTAGATGCAGTTGCCTCTAGAGCTACTGAATGCACATAAAGGTAAAAGTATCAGTGCATCAAAAGTCTGAGTCTATTTTTTATATGAGAAATAATCTCTTTGGAGTAAGCATCAATTTTTGCACCATACATAGTTCTAATCAACAACAGATGCAGAAAAACTCAGCACCAATGTAGAGCCATTGGTTACCACTACCAACTACTTGTGAACAAAATGTGATCAACAAACATCATACAATATCATTTTGCCTTCTAATTTACCATGTCCTGCAAGTGCATAGGATAGCACATTTTAGTGTGTTCACCATTCCATATATTGGCTGCCAGAATTCCATTCACTGTACCAGTTGGATGGAACTGATCCCACCAAATATAGTTAGAAGCATTCCTGCACGCCATTTCCGACGATAAGCACATGAACCAACCTTTGTACTTCCCAAATCCACAGCAGGCCTCGGACGTAATGGTAAAGCCTGATTAGGGAACACAAAGCAAAGCAAGGTATAATGTTGAAGTTCCTTAATAGATTGAGAGGAGCAAAAAAAACATAAGTTTTAGTACCATAGCTATCATGATTTTTTAAAATATCCATGGAACCTTCATACACATCACAGAAGATGATATTGGCACTAGGGAGCTCCTCAGCAAGCTTTTCAACAATGTATCTCATGAGAAAGTTAAATTCAACAGCCATATCATTTATCGGTTCAACGCATTCTCCATTCTGAATACCGTACTCCCACATATAGCGAGGAGCACAACCAATAGGAGCAAGTCCTGTAACCACCATTTTCCTAACATTTAAGTTGTACAAGTTCTGCATCATCAAGGTTAATATATCAGTAATCAATTTAAATCCTTTGCTTTATGTAATCAAACTAATTATAATCTAGATATTGCAGATGATATTGCAAATTACATGATCATATTAGACTAAAGATTGATGATATCAGTATTTTACCTTAATTTCTCGCCTGAGTGAGGATGCTAAAAACTGGTTGAAGCGCCATGGAAGGTACATGTTATTGACATTGGAAACATTGAGCAAATAGTAATGAATGTAGTCATTGATTCCAATAGAGATATAAAAGATAGAATTGGATATGAAATTGGCTGCAACATCCTCTCCCATACTTAATATAAACTGCTGATATGTGTCACTAAATTGTTGAATTTGCTGAGTGAGGGAGATATGCTGACCCTGCATGCAGTAATATTTCATCACAATATACAAGTATATCTACCAACATAACATAAGCACTACCGATCTTACAAAAACTGCTTAGACATGTCTATAAGCTGTTTTCAGCTTATTTTCATAAGCTCTCCTAGGTAGCTTATTATACAAGCAAATAGGTTCTAGATAAGAATATATGTGATATAGAAAGTTACCAATTCGGAGCCACTTGAGGCAATGATGCCTGCACCAGCAGAAGCATAATTGACACCATGACTCATATCCTTCACATTTCCTGTCTGACCAAGATAACTTGGCACAAAAGGAAGTCCAAGACGCAAAGCTAGTGCAAATTCCAGAAACTAAACGTAAATAATTGAATAAGAAAGCGAAAGTAAAAAAGAAAAGATGTTGAATTACCAAGAAAATCTACGGGAATTCTGCCATTGGAGAATCTTCCGGTGGGTTGATGAGTGTCAAAGTCTCTTCCATAAGGAAGACGATCGGCGCGGGCAAAGGTAGCGAGATAATTGTTGGTACCGGAATCAACGGAGGAATCTCCAATGACGAATAAAGCAGGAGCTAGAGGAAGAAAAGCGGGAGCTATTGGTGAAATAGCGGGTTCTGGTTGTGCAGTTGAGGGAGTGCATGAGAGCATGAAAGATAGTATAATAGGTATCAGAATAATTCTTGCATCCATTATCTTGTTCTTGCTTGTGCTAGAGTCAATTCTTAACTCATTATCTTTCTCTCGTTTCAGTTTTGAGATTTTCTTCTTCTAATTTGAGCCAACAAGAAGAAGAAAGATAATTCAACTCAATGAGTTACGAGTTGGGAGAAGAAGAAGAAGAAAGATAATTCAACTGAATGAGTTACGAGTTGATAATGGTGTCGTTCCCAAATTTTAGCGCGTTTAAAGCCTAGTATAAATGTAAAAGGACGTTTCTAAAAGAGGGTTCTGAATTTTATAGTTTTAGAAGTGGTTGCAAGGTTAAAGAGAATATTTTTAGATGTTCTTAAACTCATCAACTATGATCACTTACATTATGATTAAGCGTTTAGATGAATTTATTTTGTACTATTTTAGTAGTAATTGTTGCATACTATTTAATGAAATTCTAATCCTAGTATCATTCTCTTAAATGTGTGCTTAAAATCATATATATGTTGACGAATGTGTGAGTTGATTTCAACTAGAAATTGATTATTAACACAAATTTTGAAATCTGATCTAATTCAACTATTTGATCAAATAATTACTTTAGATGTATTGAATGACTAGATTGTGATATTAGGAATTAATGTTAAGGAAGACCTCTTTTGATTACGAACTCACATAGTAAGACATTAAGGAGTTGTAATTAAAAGAGAGAGTTATAAGTCAATAAATTGGTCATAACTAATTTTTAGTTCATCGTTATATTTGTTGTGAGAAAGTTACATGCAGCAGAAAAGCACTTTTGGAGTTGGTGTAACTGGTTACAGATTCGCATTAACCGGTTACACATATTTTCACTTTTAGATTTTGTATTTGTTGTAACCAATTAATAGCTTTGTGTTAATCGATTACAACCTCGATTTTTGTGTTTTCTGCTTTGTTACTTGATGCTTTTGTGTTCCAACCATTGTATAAATATAAATATGGTATGCTTGTGATATAGATTGAATGAAATCAATAATTCTCACCCTCAATTATCTTTCTCTCTAACTCTCATCTCTTACACGCTCTCTTTCTCCACACAATAATTATCCTCCATTGTTCACTAAAGAGTGATTGTATGTTCTAACATTTGGTATCAATAGCCTAGTTCTGATCCACAAACATCTAATGTGAAACATGAATATTCTCTCCAATGAACTAATCCCTACAACCATACCAACCCTTGAGGCGAAGAATTATGACAAATGGTGCAAACAAATGAAAGTACTGTTTGGCTACCAAGATGTTCTTGAAGTGATCAAGAACGGGGTTACTCCTTTTGTCGAAGGTGCAACAGATGTATAAAAGGATACGCACAGAGAAAAAAAAAGAAATATTACAATACACTGTTTTTGATCCATCAATGTATGGATGGTGACAACTTTGAGAAATTTGGTTATTGTGAATCATCAAAACAAGCTTGAGAAATCCTGGAAAAGGCTTAAGCAGGGGCTGACAAGGCGAAGGTGGTGAGGTTACAAACTCACAAACGTCGACTCAAATTAATTCAAATGGAGGAAAAGGAGACAAACAATGATTATGTGACGAGAATTGCTCGTTTGGTGAACCAAATTAAGGCATGTGGAGAAACTGTTACGGAGCATAATATTCTGTCGAAAATCTTGCGTTCTTTGACACCAAGATTTGAAAACATTGTAGTGGTGATCAAGGAATTGAAGGATCTTGCCACGATGAGAAAAAATGATACTCAAAACTCTCTTGAGGCTCATGAGAAAATAATGGATGAGAGGAACATCAATAAGACAAAGGTGGAGATTGCTTTGCAAGCTCGGTTCAATGAGAAGAACAAGAAGTCGAAGGGAAACTGACCCATTAAGAGTAAAGGTAATTTTCAAACTTTTGGTGGAAAAGAGTCTCAAAATTCGAATAATTTGACTTGTAAAAGAGGTGAGAGCATCTTCAGCAAAAATGGAGGCCAAAGCAACTTTAGAGGTGAGACGAGAAGTATGAGAAGAGTAAGGCATAGTGTTATGATTGTTAAAAGTTCGATCATTTTGCAAGAGATTGCACCACGAACAAGAGGGAGTCTCAAGGATATGAAGCCAAGGTTGCTATACAAGAGTTGAATGCAACAACATTAGGTTGCGGGGCGGCAACAACGATTTTGGGAACATTGTAGAAACATGTGCAAAAGAAAATGTTATGGTGACTGTGAGAGGTGGAGTCCAGTGCAGCAAAGAATGGTACTTGGTTGAGGATGTTCTACACATATGACAGGGAGAAAAGATTTGTTTTTTTGAAATCAATCAAGCCACGAAGAATAAAGTGAAAGTTGCATATGATACCACTCTAGCAGACGACCGAATTAGTGATGTTTTAATAATGAGAAGGGATGAATGACATTCCTTAATCAAATTTGTATTGTATATTATAGGAATCAAATGTAACCTTCTAAGTATTATCCAATTGCTTGATAAGGATTACAAGATTCACATGGAAGACAAGACGTTGTGCATTATGGATTCAAATAGGGTTTTGGTCCTTAAAGCTCTTATGGATGTCGATAGAAATTTCAAGATTGAGTTGAAGGTGATATAGCATAGGTGTCTTGCTACAAAGGTAAGTCGAGAAGAGTGGATGTGGCACTACCGTCTTGGACATCTCAAATTTCGAGATCTCAAAGCATTGCAAAAGAACAAAATGGTAACCGGGTTGCTATTCATCAACATTCCAGCTGATATTTGTGAAGACTGTGTGAAAGCAAAGAAACACAAGATTGAATTCAACAAGGATACATGTTATAGAACCAAGCATCACCTTGAGGTGTTGTATTCTAATGTGTATGGACTGATGCAAATTGATTTGCTTGGTGGAAATATGTATTTTGTCACTTTTTTCGATAATTTTGGTAGAAAGTTGTGAACATACCTAATCAAGAGAAAGGATGAGGTATTTTGAGTGTTTAAGAAGTTTAAGTCCATGGTTAAGTGTCAAAGTGGTCACAAGCTCAAAGTTCTCAAAATGGATGATGGATGCGAGTATGTCTCAAATGAATTTGGGAAGTTTTTTAACAAAGAGGGGATAGTGCATGAGGTAGTACCACCCTATACACCGTAAAAAAATGGTGTTTCTGAAAGAAAAATCAATTGATTATGAACATGGTAAAAAATATTAAAAAGGAAGAACTTTCCGAAAGAGCTATGCGGAGAAGTGGCATCCATAGCTGCCTATTTGTTGAATAGGTGTCCCACAAAGAAGCTTGAGAATATAACACCAGAAGAGGCACGGTCTGGATTCAAACTGAATCTAAACCATTTGAGAATTTTCAGTTTAGTGGTGTATCAACATGTTCTAGATTAACTTAGAAAGAAGTTGGATGACAAGAGTGAGATGATAATACTTGCAGGGTATCATAGCACTAGAGGTTACAAACTATTTGATGCTGCAAACAGGAAGATTGTGATTAGTCTGGACATTATAATCCATTAATTGAAGCAAGTGGAGCAGTCTGTAATCAATTATAGACAGTCATTAACCAGTTACATGCAGTCGTTATCCGGTTACCAGAAACTGTTAACCGGTAATAGCTTTGAATTTCCATATTCTGAAGAAATGGAAAGTGTAGAAGTGACGCATGTCGAAGCTAGAACTGATGAAAATGTGAGAAGACCAACTAGGGAAAGAGTTTTGTCTCAAAGACTCTAAGATTGTGAGATATTTTGTGACAACAAAATCGATGATGATGGTGATTTCTTCCATTTTGCACTTATGGTTGAATCTGAGCACGTTAAGACGGAAGAGGCCTTGAGTGATCCAAAGTAGATTTGTGCTATGAAAGAGGATTGTAATCGATTGAGAAAAACAGTACGTGGGAGTTGCTTGATCTACCGAAAGGAAAAACGCATATTGGTGTAAGATGCATATTTGTGTAAGATTGGTCTATAAGATGAAGGCAAATCCCAAAGGTGAAATAATTAAGCATAAGGCTCGATTAGTTGCAAAGAGATTTTTGCAAAGAGAATGTATAGACTTTGATGAGGTACCGGTTGCTAGGACCGAAACCATAAGGCTAGTTGTTGGTATTGTGAATAATAATAATTGGTCTATCTATCAAATGAATGTGAAGTCCGTGTTTTTGAATGGTCAGCTTGAAAAAGAAGTGTATGTAGAACAACCCCTAGTTTTGTTGTGAAAACCAAGAAGGTAGATTCTCTAATTTGAGAAAAGAGTTATATGGATTGAAGCAAACTCCTAGAGCTTAAAACAAAAGGATAGACAATTTCCTAATTGAGGTTGGCTTAAAGAAATGTGTGTCTGAACATCGAGTTTATGTGAAAACGAATAAAAATGAAGAGATAGTCATTCTTTGTCTATACATAGATGATTTGTTGATTACGTGAAGCAATGATAAAAGTATTTCTAAGCTCAAGAGTGAGCTTATGAAAGAATTCGAGATGAGATACCTTTGCATCATGACATACTTCCTTGGCATAAAGTTCCACAAGTCTAAAAGGAGACAACTTATGCATCAAAGAAGATGTGCTCTGGAGATATTGAAGAAGTGTGAAATAGAGCATTGTAATACTGCCATTACGTCAGCTGAACCAAGGTTGCAGTTGTCAAAGAATGAAGAGGATCATAATTAGATCTTACTCAATATAGAAGGTTGATTAGGTCATTACATTACATGTGCAATATGCAACTAGATTTGGCGTTTAATGTCGGTATTGCGAGTATATTCATGGAGAGACCAAAGGTGTCTTACTTGGTAACAGCCAAGATAATCCTAAGATACGTCGAAGGATCTATTGGTTATGGAATTCTCTTTCATGCAACAGATACGGGCGGAAAACACAGTTTACTTGGTTTTACCGATTCCAATTGGTGCGAAGACAAAGATGATCGAAAGTCTACAACTGGATACATCTTTATGTTCGGTGGAGCACTAATCTCTTGGTGTTCAAAGAAGTAATCGATAGTTTCACTCTCGTCTTGTGAAGACGAGTACATTGTCACTTTGTTATGTGCCTGGCAAGCCG